TTACGACAAAAACTGGCGCAAAGATTTCCTGCCAGATCTGAATCTGTGTGCCTACAATTTTTATATGAACACACTTTAATTCGAAATCTAAGGGAAAAAAATAAACATTCAATACATACAAGGGAAGTTGAAAAGACGAAATAATATTTGACCCTTAAGTGAGACAATTCGACATTATTAATATCATAAACCGTTGATCATGTCCTACGTGGTACATGTAATTCATTTCTTGATCAGTATCATCTAAATACTAACAAATTCCCCATGCATATCAAACCGTATAAAACCTTTTCATACAAACTCAACACAGATTCCACGGATTCGAAGATAGGGTCAGTGTCTTCTTGGAAAGTTTAGTATAAGTATTTAATAACTCCGCAAATCCTAGCCGACCCCTCCCCCCTCTCCATTTAGATCCGCGCATGGATGAAAACTGGATAGACAGACAAAGTAGGTAATTTTTATAACTTAATCCAACGAATTCATATCAAATTGCTACACTGTATCTTCTCAGAGGAGAGAAAAAATGTGAAATATACACATCCATACACATACACAATACCAAGCTAGCATATTTTAAAATTAGGATCTATGAAGGCAACTGCATGAGATAAATCTGATATAATGGGACACCCCATGTATTAAACATGTTAAATACCTGCTGTCATTTTATATAATGGTTTTATACCCCCTTTTGATCTGAACCTGGAATATATGTAAGTCCGTTCAAGTGTAGACCAAGGTCAGTTGTATGTTATATATGCAGTTGAAGATTTTAAACAAAAAATTAAAAATCACCCCCACTGTGATGTGGAAAGCTGACGACCATAAAACAAATTATAAGGTGATATCTGGCCACCGGCGATCGAACCCAACTGACCGTCACACTTAGTTAATATAAATTATAGAATAAAGAAAAAAAATTCTCTAGCCTGTTGATCAAAATAGTAATCATATGCAATATACAAGTATTTATGAATACATGTACCCCCCTCTCAACCACTATCGAATAGATTAAATTCTCTTTGTCAGCTTTTCACTTGTAAAAATTGATTTTTTTTTTCGATTGAGCATGTAGGTATAATTTCTCTGGATTTGCCCTTGCATCTACCTCCAACTAACTGACGACCTGAAGAATAGATTACTTATGAAATATTTGTAAAACCTACAGATAAATATTTAGAACACATTGCAAAGGCGTTGCGAAAATATTTTATAAATACTGAATTCTAAGACACACCAATACGTTGACATATATCTGTACTTTATGTTTTTGCCAAATGGAAATTTATTTGTTTGAAATTTTTATGAAAATATCAGTATACAGTATGTATTGGATATATGCCGAATACAGTTCTGTATTAAAAAATATCAGACAGGTTTGAGGCCCGTAAGGGCCGAACACTGTCTGATATTTTTTAATACAGAACTGTATGAGGCATATATCGTACTTAAAATATTGCTTTTGATTTACCTGAGACAGTCCGATATTAGAAGAAAAGACAAAGGTGTTAATGACCACTGATGCAATTATTTCAAGAATGCAAATGAAAATGAAAAGTACTCAGTATTTAGGGAATTGGCTACACTGAAGAAGGTATTTGAAAGAATTTGAAAAGGAGAGTAGGAACAAAATTTTTTTTTCATTAAAATATGCACGGAGATTGAAGCAGTGTAACGAATTAGATAATCTAGGGAATGATAAATTTGTAATCGAACGGAAAGCGCCGATATGAAGAATATCCACAGAAAATTAAGCAGATGCTAAAGGTACACTAGTCCATTTAATTTTTTATGTTAAGAGTCTACATTTACCTCTGTTTTTGCTGTTTCATTATAGAAAAACAAACATACTATTAATCAATATTCCAGGAGTTTTGAGGGAAACGTTGAAATTCTTCAAATTTCTTTCAAATTTTGTTGCGAATCTGTCAAATCAAGTATTAATTATCACATACTAGGCCTAGTTACCTTGATATTGCATCTAAATATTTTTCTTTTAAATAGAAATCAAATTGTTTGAATGCTGCTCTTTATAGTGTCTAAACTTTGTGTAGTATTATGAATTTATTTTTGGAACTTAAATTAAAGTTTATGTGACACACCAGTGTACAATGTACCCACTCTTTTTCAAAAACCAGAGAAAGGGGTTAAAACACCTCCAATTTTTAGAAGTTTACCCGTTTTGTGTGTTGTGTTTTTTGTTTTTTAATTTGGATTATCTGGTCTGTCGCAGGTTCTTCTTCCTGTTACAGTATATTCGTGTCATTGAAAGTTTATTTCTTTTTTTAATTTTGCAATACTGTAAGTTAAAGACTTTGTTTCGTGGAATTGTAGACAATTAATACCTAAATCCTTCAATTTCGTACATTATTATTTTTTTTATCAATATTTTAGCAAGCTAGCCCAATATTATTTTGTTTTTATAACAAAGGGCAGACGTGATTATAATATTCCCTGTTTTAAGCATTGAATTCATATTTTTGGCTGTCTTCGGTCTTATAACACACCTGGCCGTGCCGACAAATTGAATACCGCGCGTTAGCGCGGTATGATAAATTTGTCGGCACGGCCAGGTGTGTTATAAGACCGAAGACAGCCAAAAATATGAATTCAATGCTTATATTTACATTCTCTAATTTTTCTGCTTCATAATTACTGATTTCGTTAATCTTTAATGTGAATTTAGCGCCCTTCAAAACTGACGTGGTTAATAGACGTAAGAGCCGTTTGTGACGTCAGATGACGTTGCAAAGTCAAATAACGCAAACAAACATTGCGAGGAAAAAAAGTGACAATTTAATTTAAACGCACATTTGTAGTAATTTTACGTTAATTTTAAAGGATGATAATTTTTGCTTAAATTGAGTCAACAAATTGTACATGTTGGTGTTCCTTGATTATAGAAAATGCATATTGTTCCTACTGTGTATTCTAACGCGCGGTGACAAGGTTTTGCGTGTGTTATAGAAATTTGAATGTTGTGGATTTCTAATGAATTTCATAAGGAAAAATACACGGAATGTAAATATTTCACAGCGATGGATCCAGAATGGGGTTCCATTCTTTGAATTTGCTAAAAAGAAGAGAAAGAAGAGTCCCTAATTAATTTTTGTTGAGTTTTTTTAAGAGTACTTTATTGAAAGGCTCAAGTAGTAATATATGTAGAAATTCAGTTGTGAAAAAAAAATTGGATTTACATGTTCAGAGATTTTAGATTTCTTTTCCTTTCTTTCTCAAAAAATTTCAGGAAGTAAGTCCATAACTTTTCCCAGTCTGACAACTTTTCCACTTTTAAAACGATACCACATCCCTGTATCCGTTTATCTTTCTTTAAGCGTACGTTATAATAACTCTTTAATTTCCCCCTCTTTTTTGGAAAAAAAAATTCTAGATCCGAGTCTGTTACACTTATGTTTTTACAAGCTAATAATCTAGTAATCATATAAAGCAGTATTAAGATTTGTCTTTTGAATAACAATAGAATCTTAAAATTAAAAAAAAAATTAAAAACGAAAATAGTGTAGAGCTTTAGAATGAAAACAGGCGATTGAAAGGGGTACATGTAAACTAGGCGGTAATAGAAATACATGAAGAGCTCTGTTGATAATTTAATGATATTATCGAGTAAAGTTTAAGTGAGTCATCTTGAAAAAAAAATTCAATAATTTGAAAGAGCACCATCTAAAATAATTACAGTCTTTATGACGTCACAATTGACGTATATGTATTACTTTTTACGTCATGTTCGAAGATAAATGTAACTTATTTATATCTTTTTCGAGTTTTGAACTCAGATAATATAAATCAAATATCATGCCTCTCCAAAATTATCGTTTCAAACGAACTGCTAACTTTTTTTAATGTATAGTGTATAATTTTTATAGCACTTTGTTAAATAAACCAAATATTACCGAATGATTAAGAAAACTGATGAATCTTTGCGACATCAAAATTTAAATGTAAAGTCATATTTCATATAGGCCACACGCATGAACATAGATTTTATTAAGCGTGTAGATTCGTATCAGCAATATTTAATTTTTTATACACATGGTAAGTATGAAAGTTGTTCTTGACTGTGGCCACACTTAATTTTGGCAAATTCTGTCGAAAAATCGGCATTTTTGAACGTTTTGACGAAACCTTTGCATTTTCAAACCATCGCACGTGCCTAACAGCACATTATTTAACACAATGAGTTATGTAAGGAAAATAAGTATGTTTTCCTCTAATAATTAACGTATAATACTGGCCATAAATAGAAACTCGATTTTTGTGACAAACATAGGGCCAAAAATGATGGTTCGTGGCTTTACCTCTTTTCTATTGTCAAAGGTTTATAAAAACGTTAAAACATTATACATTATTGTTAAAAACTCTAATTCGTGTTATCTATTTTTTGACAGAATTGAGTTCACAGGGTATGATGCAGTAACATTGATGCATTCAAACATGGTTCTCTTGCTTTTAGAAAGATAATTGTTTCCATTGAATTCTTTTTAAATTAATTTTTATCCGCCCCATATAAATCAACTTTATATTCACTTTTAAGGGGTGCTTATATATCCGTATGATTAATCAAGGCCTAATACCTTTCAAAACTTTTATCTCTAATGATATCAACTATTGAATCCTCTACTCTTGCCCATGTTACCTGTGAAAGTCATAATTAATGGAAACTTAAAAAATACAAAGTTTGTAATACATGTAACACCTTACTTTAAATAATAATACAAAGTTAACACTTGTTTATGTTAGAGCTATCATTTCTAAAGTCTACCCACAAAATGTATATAAAATACCCTTTTCGGAATTTTTTTTAGGAAAAAACATTTTGTTGAATAACTCCTTATTTTGGATCTTAGTAGAAAAAATTTGCTGTATTTGTTAGCAGTTCTTTCAAAAACATTAAGATGTTTACAGATGATTAAAAATCATGAGATATCCGGACATCGGTCAAAATATGATAAGAATATAACATTTCCATTAAATTAAAAAAGTACTTTATCATTAGTGCAAGACAAAACATACCTAATGTCTCGTGTAAGGATTCTATGAACTCGGACGTTTCCAGTTGTAATTTCTACAAAACCAAAAAGATGAACTTGACATGATATGTTTAAATTTATGTCTTTAGAGTAAACATATTAAAAAAAGAGAGAAGACCAGGGGCAACCTTGCTCACCTGGGCAACTAGCTACGTAAAAGCAAAAATCAGTTCAACTTATATTAAAACTTCCTGTACACATTTTTTACTGCATACACATATAAGATTTTTTTTTATTGATATAGCCTTTATATTCCCTTACTATAAGCCACTTAAGTTGCTCCTTTATTCTTCTGATTGGTCATGATTTTAATAATTCAAATATACATTTTCGCTTTGTTAAATTGATGATCGATTACTTTGTTAAAAATTCTAACGATTTTTTTTTCCAATTTTTTTCTATTTAAAACATTGATTACCCATTCTGGCCCACTCTCCCCCACGGGTCATGGTTTGAACAAACTTACCTCTATAATACCCGAGCATGCTTCCACATATATACTGTATAGGGGATTAATTTCACGGGGTGTAATTTTCACGGTTTTCTCTCATCGGACACGATCGCGGTTTCTTGAATTCGCGGACTTCTTATGTTATAGAAGTTACCTCCCTTGTCTATACCCGTTTAATCCATATCATAGCTACATATTAACGACAATTATCAGCGTCCTGTCTTTATTTCACAAACAACAGGGTAGGTTAATACAAAATACCTAGACTTAATAAATAATTGACGATGAATGAAATCAGATACAGCCATCAAAAGTCCTTGACTACATGATTGTATAAACGTCAAATGACTTTTCTGTACATGCTATTACAATGAGTGCATGTACACCCCACGCCTTTCAAAACAACGCGGCGAAAAAATACTGGACGGTAATAAATGTGTTAATGTAGGTCGACGAAATAATATCCTTCCAAATCTTCAATAAGTTCAATAGTTATTTGAATGATTTTTTAAAATCAAAAGGTTGATAAAAACTATAATATGCATGATAATGCAGGTAACAAATACACCGTGCGTGGTAACATTAGTTACGCACGGGTAATCAAAACTCATGGCCCACGTGTTTTGATTGAAGAAACATGTAGCATTGGCTATTTAAAAAAAGCCTTTTCACAAACACTGGTTATTATCTGTTGATTTGAATTAATGGGAAGCGTGTTAATTAAAATAATTGAATGAAAAATACTACTCGTAATTACTGAAATGACCATGTACTGTGGTACATGTATTTAAACCTATCGTAGTCTATTCTCAAATTTCCAAATTAAACATGGAGATAATTGAAAAATTATTCACTGTTTCTTGAATTCGCGGATTTATAATCACCGTGAATATAGCGAATATTAACACCGCGAGTTATTTTCCCCCTATACAGTAACCAATTTTAGATTTGCTTTTATCAAGAAGAAGAATTTGAAAGATATTTCAATGCAATTCTTTTTTGATCACCCATAGAGGCCTCACCCTTACCCCCAAGTGTCAAGATTTGAACAGATCTGAATCTATACTGCCAGAGGATGCTTCCATGTTACTACATGCATGACCAATAATGGCTGTGCTGTTCTTGAGAAGATTAAGATCTTAAAAGATTTTTTTCTATGTATTTCTATGTAAAACTTTAATCCCCCATTGTGCCGCCCTACTCCCGAGGTTCATGATTTGAACAGAGTTGAATCTTCACTTTCAAAGATTGTGGTCCCACCCTATCCCCGGGGATCAGGTTTTGAACAAATTTGAATCTTCACTTCCAGAGGATACTTCTAGATGTGTTTCTTTTGTTGCAGGTTTAGTTGAAATTGTCGTTCTTGAAAAGAATATGAAAATGTGAAATGTTTACGACAACAACAACGTTTATGATATCTGGATAGTCCTTCTGATGGGACCGTATAAACTGAGGCCCCTGTCGCAGTAGGAGCTGGCACGAAAAAAATATTTCAATGCTTAATTGCCATGAGTGCCGAGTATAAGGAGCAGCTCTCCACCGGGAAGTCGTGGTGTCTCCATGTGTGTGAAAAATTCTCGAAAGGGACGTAAAACAAGAAACAATCAATCGACGACAACGGACAAATTTCGATCAGAAAACCTCACTTGAGCCTTCGGCTCAGATGAGCTAAAACACACGATTTTAATATTCAGAAATAGGTACAGTACCGATCATACCCAACCTGACACAAGGCAGTCCCACAGCAGTCCCGGGGACTGCTTTCTGGGACTGCTAAAGCAGTTCCACAGCAGTCCCAGTGGTCCCAGAAAGCAGTCCCAGTGAGCGGGGTTTATTAATTTAATGGGCGGCACTAATTCAGAAATGAGATTTCCAATAAACAACGGAACTATAGAAGGCGGTTGAAATTGATTCTGAATAGTATGCCAGGAATATTTACATGTATGTGAAGGTCATTTATGAACAATACGCGCAGAGAAACGATTTGAAATAATATAAGCTATAGGAAGAAGGCTTTCACACTTACATGTATGAATTATTCTGAACATGAATATTTAATCACAATTATCTGGTTTATTAATAACTCAATTTCTATATTTTCTGTGATTGATACCGGTTCCCAAATTTATTTTTTATACAGAAAATTAAACTTGAATTGATTATTTTCCATCAGAATTAGCTTTAAAAAGATCTGATTATTCCATCCTTTTGGGATACCCTAAAGGCATTTTCTTCAGTATTGGGGCTTTTGAAACATTCTTTATTAATTTGCCAAGTATTATTTTTCAGTAATTATTATTTTTACTGACATGTCAATTTAATTTTAGTTAGTTTCTCTAGCTCTACAATACTCAGCTTTGGGTGTTTTATTTGTAAACACGTCTGAGTGTACATCTGTAAATTACATGTACCAGAATTGATCCTACGGATTATGTTCAACATTTAAGAAATTTATACTCAGTTCATTCATCATTTTTTGTATTGACCGAGAAAACAGCAATAATTGTTTTATTATATGATTCACTGATAAAATGAGACAGGTCATTACTTGTTTGCATTTAATTAAGTCCTAGCCAAATACAAGAGAGAAGCAGAATTAGAATGTAATTAAATGAACCTTACCAGTCGTATAAATTTTAAGGGTTTTTTTTATCAATTTTAGTTGCCATGAAAAAAAATATCACGTCAGTCTTTTTTTATAGGATAGCTTTTCACAGGAAGGAGTGTTATCAGGGAAAACTGACTGCTAAAAAGTAAAGATTGTTGTTCAGTTAAAGTGTTGGAGAGGGATTCCTGCATCCCTTCTTACCACACTCGCCCGAAAATATAAATTCAATTATGTTTTGTTCACATGAAAAAAAGTCATAGTCGTTTAAATAGCTTTTAAAATTAATTTGTATCCATTTGGAATTTCCCGATCTATTTTTAGATCAATGTAGAGGAAATAAATCCTTGTGTTGACCTGCAACGTCACTTGCAGGTCAATACAACGTAGTATTTTTCTAACATAGTTGGATCTCAGCCAATCAGAGAGATGGAAATCATTCAATCATATAATAAAATTTTATATACATTAATCGGCCTGGTAAACACAAGAAAAACAAAAAAGAAATGAATCCCAATTCCCGGTTTTTTCAACTGTTTATTTTTAAAATTAAAAAAAATAATTCATTAATAAATTTCCCACATGACCTACATGTAGATATCTTTTTTCTCATAATTCTGTAGTTTATTTCTATGGATAAAAAAATCTTTTCCTGACTTCCTTATTAAGCAAACTAATTTTTTTTTTAATTATTCTAAACCATATTTATGTTAAAATACAGTCTCATAAAATATTAATTAACTATAGTAATCTCTACTTATTTAAAAGATTGTAAGAAATCCTCGCTTTTTAAATAATTTAACCTCCTCTCTGCTGCAAGTAAACAAAACGACTGGGGACCTGCAAATCCAGAATACACAAGGGGATGGAGCTATCATATCACTCTGAAACTTTTTCACACATGAGTGAACAAAACAGTTCCAGGGACAGCTGGGACTGCTTAGACTGCTGGGTATCCTTTTTAGAGCAGTCCCAGAGCTGTCCCATAGCGGTCCCAGAGCAGTCCAACAGCAGTCCCAGAGCGGTCCCAAAACAGTCCCGGGGACTGATACAAATATTGAGTATATTTTTGATGCTGTTAGACATTGAAAATTTTAATATAAGGAATGTTTTTAAGTTTAGTGTGATTTTTTGGTGTGTGAATCACACCAACATACACATAGGCATACTTTTCATAAAACGCGCTAGCGCTTCATGAAATATGCCTAGGTGACAAGTCTTTGTGATTCACACATCATTAGCTCACACAAAACTTAAAAAAATCCTTAATTAAATAGAATTTAATTTTTGTTTTATCACTACATTTAGTTTGATTTGCAGTGTAGGATCCAGATTTAATGTTAAATCTTAAAAGTGATGCAGAATTTTAGAAATAAAGGTCCTGACCAAAATCAGCTCAAAAGCCCAGGTTTGAACCTCCTTTATCAAGAGGACGTTAATTAATATACAATCAATCAATCAAATCAACCTCCTGAAAGTAAATCACTCATGACTTTTATCAAAATGTAATTACAATATTATTTACATGTAAGTTAACCTATTACATATATACTCAGTATAGCATGACGGGAAATTTCAAAAAGAAATAGCAGAGTAAAGTTTTAGATTTGCAAATTGATTATTTTGCATTAAAATGAATATAATTTTTCTAAAAACTAAACAGTAATAAATAGTTCTTTAAGATATCTCAGTTCTGACCCAACGTTTTTCAATAGCTAACAAGTGATATAAGTTATATGCATTTGATTTGCAATCAATGTACATTGTTGTACTGGAAATGTTTGCAAGGGGAAGGGGGCATCTGCGAATTTTACGATGACTATATGCATTTTGCAAAATTTATCATCATGCAAAAGGGTCAAAGAAAAGAACAATTAAAACAAATAAGTAAAACATTATTTGATTCCTTTATTTTTTTCCCAAAAATTACCAATTACCTCAACACAAAAGATCTGAGACAATGACAACGTAAAAAGAAATATGCGCCTTTTACCAGTCAACCCGCAACTCCTCTTCGTGAATATTATCATTTAAATAATCAGAATTGATAAAAAACTTACTAATTTATTCTTCTTTCTTTTTTTCTTTATCCCTTTTGTTCTCCTTTTCTTCACATCTTCAGACACATTAGGAAAAAATCTCAATTACATGTATAAGACAAATTTTAAAATCATCATCCAAAATTTAAAAAGTATTTGTACTTAAAACAGACCAATGGACTTTGCAAAAAAAAATTGACTTTTACAGTTGACAGTTATTTTTGATATTTAAACCTGTATCGTGTTCGGAGGTACAGAATTAATATTAGAAACTTTTCTATTGGAAATACATGTAGGTATGATGCTAAATGATTGTCGCAACTTTTTGTACCTTGCAATGACTCTTTTTTTTCGCTGAATGAAATGCTTATCTAATTTTTTTTTTATCGTAAAAGAGCCTCATTACATTGTCGTTGTGTAAATGTAAGCTGTAAAATGTAAAAGTCAGCGCTCCTCGAAAAAGTCCATTTACCTTTCTTGTTTTCTGTTATGGTGTCATCTTCCATATCTTCGTATTCTACTGCACTTGACATTGAATGCATTTCCTCGTCCTCCAAAAGATTGTTTTTCTAAGAAAGATCAAGTAGTTCTTTTCTAAATTATTTTTCAAATGGGAAACCCATAGAAGTTATTAGGTGATATCACCTTTTCCCGTTATTTCCCAGAATGCATTCATGGCAATTATTGAAAAAGAATTTAAAAAAAACATCGCATAGGAGATCATAGAGATAAAATTATGTAATAAGATGAGAATAGGAATCGTATTTTTTCGAAAAGAAATGGATGCTAGTATGTTTTCGAACAACAACTTTATTGCATATAAACCAAATAATTATCGAATAAAAAAGATAAAATTATCGAATAAGAATGACAACATTAGCGACTAGCAACCGATTGTTTTAAATATTAATGACATCGAATAGGAAACGCGTGTTTTCGAGAAAAAAAAAATAAATTTTATGATATATGAATCATTTTGTCACATTTCCTGTAATTGGAATAGCAATTTATCGAATACAAATTACAAAAAATGGAATAGAAATTACAAGTAATCAAAAAGGAATCACATTCTATAGAATAAGAATGTTTTAGAATAAGTATAATCTCATTCTCAAGGTTATGGTCCGAAAGCAATCAATTTTTAAGCCGAGACAGGCTACTGACAAATAAGTTTATTATTACAGGGATTTCAACAATTTATTTAAAGTTAGCAGTACTTACATGCTATTGTCGCTATATTGCTCTTTTCACAAATATAACCTGTCATTGGAATCATTTTGGTCGATGTGTTTCATTCTAATTTTTAGGCTATAAATTTTGTTATTTTTATACTGAATTTGACTAGTTGGGATGTTCCACCCACCTGATCAATATAATTATGTAGGGCTCACTTTCTAGACAGCAGATTTTTTAAATTTTTGTTTTACACCCTATTCGTTGTTTTGTTGTTATTTATGGATTCCATGAATTTTGGAAAGTATTGTCAAAAATAAAGTTGTCATGCTTGAAGATAACTGAAATCGTGCACTGATCAAAATGTACATGTATACACGGGGTGATACTGTATGTTTATTTCTATTATTTTTGAAAAGGGAAAAAATTGAAACCGAAATATAAATAAATTGATACTGATAAATCCCGTAAAACAACTTCCCAGCTAAAAAAAAATGTTCAAACTTTGAGGTGGGGTCAATATTCAACAGGGTCAATTTTCAACTTGTTGACGTCATCAGGTGTAAGAAAAAAATTATCAAGCTGTTGAAAAATGACCCCGAGTATATATTCAACGACTTTTGGTCTCAATATTCAACGTTGAAAAATGACCCCGGTTCAATATTCAACGTTGAAAAATGACCCCCGGGTCAATTTTCAACTCGGGTCAATATTCAACGTTACACCTGATAAAGTTTTCGTTTATAATTTTCTTCCTGTCCTCCAGTAAAGCTCTTTTACAGGTCTAAAATTTCAATTTGGTTTTTATGGACGAATGTCACGAATACCTTAATGATTTCAAGATCAGAAATGGAATGTCGGTATATATACCTAACGAAAGACCATGTCAAACGAATTACACATATGAAATATGAAAGTCATTGCTCCGTATAATCAACATTTATGGGCAAGTATGGAGTTGTTGCCTACAGACAACAATCAGGGAGATGATTAAACAGGAGAATTTTTAAAATCCCGATTCTTCGATTACGGGGAATAATGATCATATGACATATCACTGCATCATATTGTTTCGGGATTACCAATAGTTTTATAGCTGTAAAATGCTCAAACTTAAAATAAAATAATTAATAAAAAATTAAAACAGTTGTTGTTACGTTTCTTCTGTGTTCAATTCCTCGTCAAGAATAAGTTCATGTTAATGAAAGTGCTAAACGATAGAGAAATTAACATAATATAATTTACCATGTGTTTGTTTGGTTCCAGATGATTTCTCCATTGCGCAGCTGGAATATGTCCCATTTTGGAAAATACGATAATTCACCGTCTGTTTGCTGTAAAAAATTTAATTAAAAAAATATGTATTAAAAATTAAGTTTCAGATTGGAGATTTATTTTTTATTAAGTCTGTCTACCAATGTATATTATATTTCCTTTTTCGTGACATTGCTTATTAATTTGTCATCAATGGAAAAATCACTTCATATCACAGTCTGCTCATTAAAAATGTTGTTTAAGTTAATTCTATAATCTTTGAATAACTAATTTGTTTTTATTTTTATGTGCTAAGAGAACATGTACAGTTTATCATTTAGTCAAATGCTCAATTACTTTCTTCATAATGATTGTCGGGCTATTATTTTTACACTGAGTTAAATCCTTTTTTCTCGCTATTTCTCGATTATATGTGATGTTTGGCAGAGGATGCGCACTCCTCCATGGCATCTGATCCTACCTCTGCTGCTTTGGAGGTCGGTGTTTGCTTTGATCCTATTTTTTAATGTTAAATAGACTTTCACGCTCAAATACTGATTAAAGAGTCTTAATCAAGAGCTTGGTGATTACGTGTTGTCCAAAAGTCACAACATTCTCAAAATTCTAAACTGCCATGTAGAAACATTTATTGTTTCAGTTTGTTAAATAAATAAATATATAAATTGAAGTTCTTTAATCTCAGACGATATATTGATAAATATGACGTTGCGCACGATATTGGTGTCAAAAAGTTAAAAAGAATAACAAGGCGGCAGCATTTGCACATATTTTATGATTTTAAAACAAAACACTTCATGAAAACTCCATATTCGGTTCATAATCGAACACTTTATACATTTTAACAAAAACTATATAATATTTTTTTTTATTTGACTATTACGCCAAAAACGTCAAAAACGCATGTAGATCTGTATAGAGCGTCGCATAGCATTAACAAAATGTTGATAAATTCCACAAAACAAACAACAGTTATTTTATCATATTGAATGTTTTATACTAATAAATATAGAAGAAATTGCGGGAATAATGCTTGGCATCGCGATTACTTAACTTAGCGAAACTATTTCGCTAAGGAGATAGGAAACGTCTGTTGGATGGGGGCAAATATGCCATTATATACATTGCAAGATCAGTCATTGTAGAATTTATAAGGACAGACAAGTAAAAAAATCGTGGTGGGATACATTTTTTAAAAATAGCTGGATCTGTTAATTTTTGAGACGAGCTAATCCTAAAATGTTACATTTTTAACCTTAGTTATAACGAAGCGGACTCTTCTTTTTAAATTTTCATTGAAGATAGTCACATTTTAAAGCTGATAAATATTCTAAACTTTCCTTATTTGACAATTTACCATTTAGAGTTCAATTCTTGGCAAAACAATGTACATTGTTCGAATTATTTGATTGTTACTAATGTAAACAATGTCAATTGCCCCAAAAATCTAGAGCATTACTCGCTTTTATTTTTATGGCGCGAAAAATACAATGTTAAATCTCTTCATGAATCGTCCATTAGAGAATAATTATTCTCGATAATAAGAACTCGCAAAAATAAGAAATCTACAGTAGTTTAAGTTTTTGTATGTTTCAATTCATTTCTATGCGATCAGAAATCAATCTTGAAATATAGATTCTTAGAGATCTGTACCTCTAAAGTTTACGTAATATAGCTGACTATGACATTATATTGTATTGGCAAGTGGAAAATTAAGTTGTCGTCTTTACAAATCCGAGTGAAGCAACATAAGATGGACCCGCTTCCTGATGTATAGCGTATTATAATTTCATTGGCAAGGGACCGACGACAAGGTACTGTATTAATTAATTCATTTATTTAATTTTATTTGTTTCTCTCCGTATCCTTTAGCGGAAATATTTCGATTAGTATGCTCTATTTTAAATTTACCATAAAAATTTTGTTGAGTAGAGAAAGGAAAAATATTCAAAAAACGTATCAAGAAACGTTATTGTTGTCAATACAATCTAAGTAAGGTCGGGGAAAGCAGGGGATATAACTCTTTAAAGAAGTATTTATATTTTATTATATGTAAGTTTTATTAAAGCCCATATAAAGATTAATAATAAAAAGGACCATAGAGTAATTTTTCCTTGTGAAAATGTTATTCTTGCATTTCACTCTCATTTGGTCTGCACACATTATACAGAGTGTTATCGATCAAATTGTATGTGAATTAAAGTGTAAAGACCAGTAAGTTTGTCGATAGATTTGTTTTAAACCTATAGCTATCTCTAAAATATCTCTAAAATAAGTATTAAGACGTGTCATCGTTCACCGCTTGTTTACTGACGATGTTCAAAGCAATTTACCGCCTGCTTTATGTTGTAAAATTCTTTTAGAATTAAACGTGCATATTTTAATAACTTATGTAATCGATAAAGTAAATTATTTTGAAGACAGCAATATGGGAATTTCTTTACTTTTATAACTTTCTAACTTTCGAAAGAAAATTATACTCGCCTCGTGTTCTGAAGGCTTCTGGATCTGCTGATCCCCAGAATCATGTAATTTTCCATAGAATAGATATATTTCTAAGCAGTTGTCGGTATGTATTCATTTCATACGCAATTTTCCGAGTTCACTATATGATAAGTATGTTTATTTTAAAAAAGGAATTTGTTTTTAAATAAAATTTATTTATAAGCATCGCATTTATTACATGAAATTTTTTCGTTTATAAGAAAATAGATTTAAACAAGCTAATTCAGAGAATTTGTGTCCCCCGCTTAGGAAAAAATTAAACCATGCGCAGGGGGGTGGGGTTCGGATCCCCTTGACTGAATTTGTAGAATTATTAAATGTATACTGAAGCAAATAAAATATGCCAATATGGATATAAAGGTTTGATTGATTATTCTTTATTATATGTGTAGATTACTCTTTTAATATGGAATATTTATCACACTGTGATGATGAATTTATGAGTTTTTACAAGCCAGACCTCATAAATTTTTCATTTCACATGTTGAATGCAATCATTTAGTAAAAAAAAAGTATTTTGGAAAAAAAATTGATTATTCCGGGATGCGAACCCTGGCCCTCTCACATGTGAAACGAGAGACATACCACTAGAACACGGAGCCGCGTTAACCCGGCGA